ATATTTTGGCGAAGCAAAGAGGGGGCATAATACTATTTCAGGTGATAAGACAGAGATGGCCGAGCTTTATACAATGCTATCACATTTTTTTCATATCTAGGGACATATATCTTGCTAAAAATCACAATGAGCCTTACTCCATCTGTATGGTACCGACCAACCCCCTTGGCTCATAGCCTATTACCATAAAGACGTGTTGGCTTTTCTGTGATCTCCCTCGTCAACGACTTACATCGCACGAGACACAGAGACAAGTCTGACGTTGCCTTCAAGCTTCACCGCAGCACGAAACGAACCGGAAACTATATCACCTATATAACAATCGGTCTCTGTTTTCGCTGAATGAATGACGTCAGCGCGACTGGGAAAGGAAGTAGGCAGACATGGAAAGACAGTGTATGTGTTTGTGCGTGCGTGCGTGCGGGCGGGCATGCGTGCGTGTGTGCGTGCATGCGTACATGCGTGCGTGTGTGCGTGCGGGCGGGCGGGCGGATAAGCGTGTGCCTGCGTGTGTGCGTACGCGTGTGAAGAATTGAAGGGAGCGAAAGACGGAGAGCGCGCGCGCGAGAGTGTGTGAGAGAGTGAGAGAGAGAGAGTGAAAGTGAGAGCGAACAAGAAAACGCGAGAGAGACCGGGCGAAAGAATGTGAGAGCGAGCTCGCGCGAGCGAAAAACGAAGCAAGAGAGTGAGGGGCAAAGGGCCAGAGACCGGGTGTGAAAGAGATGTAGTGAGAACGGGGAAAAGCTGGCGCGCGCGCGCGCGCGCGCGAGAGAGAGAGAGAGAGAGAGAGAGAGAGAGAGAGAGGTGGGAGGCAGAGAGAGGAAACAGCGAGTTAGAGGGAGAAGGAAGGGGTGAGGGTGGGGGAGTGGTGGAGGTAGGGAGGCAGATGAGCTTACGCGTGAGACAGATAGAGAGCAACTGGTACAACGACACGTTAGATACATTTTGCCACGCCCGGTTCATGCACCGAATTGATTTTTCAGCCGTGGATCCATTGATTCTTCCTAAAGGGTTGGCTCCTCGATGGCATTAGTGCCCCTGTTTTTCATAAATAAGCCCCTCCCATCATTTGCATGCACACGAGGTACGTGTGGATGGAGGCTGGGCCGCTGTTTCTCCGTCTGTATCTTGGTGTGGTGGAGGTAGGAAGTAAGCTCAAAGCTGAGGACAAACTGTGTACGATCGGTAACATTCGGACCTGCCGAGAAACGCCGGGCACCTGTGCCGTATATTATACTAGCTGCGGGTACCCGCTGCGCTGGGTAAAATCGTGCTACTAATTCATACTTTCCCCAAGAGTTGTAGCCATACGGATACGTTTGCCATGTAAGGCTCAGTGATTGATATTTCAGTTTGGTATCTTTTGAATTCTGTTCTGTTCAAAAAGGGGGAGAGATGTAGTAGCCTGTAACTACTAGTACTGCTGCGCCCCACCGAGCGGCGCCACTCGCATATGTACTAGAGCGCCATCTGTGGCGTTATATTATTTTGGAATAAAGTTGGTTCCTGTTCCGGCATAAACGTGTTGTAATCTCTTTGTCAGACTTTGATAAGTTTCTGATATATACCCACAATAGTTGTGACCACAGATCACGACAGTTGTAACGTTGATGTACGTTCGATGTATAAATGATGAAGAAATCCAAACTTGTGTAGTAAACTGAATAACTTTAATATCTGCTCACGTCTAGTCACATCTCCTTGCACACATAGACAAAGAAACGCGTGTGCTTACTCGCGCGACCACAACCAGAATCTCGCACACTTCAGCCATAACCCTGCATTCTGGTATAACGCATTCACACTGATGTGTCAAACTGCTAGATACAAAAGATGCGTCGCGCCACGCTCACTGCTAAAATAATAGTCTCTGGCTACGTGAACAAACAGCTGTTACAAGGTAAATCTATTGGTATGAATTTACATGATATAGCAAGCTATACTGACCTATAGATTTTAAAATGTATGCATTTCAAAACATGCTGCACTTTTTGAACTTGACTGAGGAATGTATATGCACTATAAGGCTGACTCAACAAGGTTTCATATGCTTCTAAGGGCCAAGCACTGTAGCGGAAGCGAAGGGCCGCATTGGTATAGCTAGCTTTAGGCGGCTTTAAACCGTATTGGGGGCAAGCAACAGTAAGCCTTGTGCTAATCATTGACCAATGTCGCACAACTTTTTCGATGTGCTAGAAAATAGACCATTAACATAGTCTCATCTTATTGTGGAACCCCCTAACACTAATAGTAGCAAAATATCTTGAAGCTGTTGGCTGCAATACATCCTAACTCTAACTTGAATTAAGAGTACATGTAGAACAACACTTTACAACCCTATACCCACAGCCCTATACATGTGTTTGTGATCCGGATCAGTGATCGGCCCAAACAAACGCACGTGATCAGTGGATCCGTGTGTTCCGGACCATTTGAACAGTTTAAACATACACGCACTCAGTCTATGCTATTAATATAGTATAGATAGTACAGGGGCAGATCCCGGATTTTTGAAAGGGGTGTGTCCAGGAAGAAATAAAGGGCACTTTTTCCTGCTTAATTTTTCTGGTGTTTTAAAAAGCTGCCGAAGGCCATTTAAGGGAAAGGGTGGGTTTGGGGCACCTCCCCCAAAAACATTAAAAAAAATTGGTGCATTCTGAGAGGATCTGAGCAGTAATTTTGATGTCTTGAATGCAAGACGGAATTCCAAATTTTATCAGAAGATTATCTTTTAAGTCAACCGACAGTGAAATTTAATTTATCGGGTTGAAAAACAAAAAATTATCAGATCCGGTCCCCCGGATGCCCCGCGGACTCCTCTTTGCCAATTTCTAGGGTTTTATAACGAATATATATAATTTTACACCATTGCTTCTCTTTTAACTTTTCTCTAAATACCTCTGGACTATATGTTTTTAATGATCTAATTCTCCTAGTTTTATGCTTACCTATAACCTGTCTAGAAGTTTTCCTAGTACAGTAAGTTAAAAAATGATCACTCACTCCCTTGGCTATATGATGCCCGATTGACTAATTTTGACTGCATCAGAAACCATTATTAAATCGATAGCGGACTCACTTATATTAGTTACTCTGGTCGGAGTAGTGATTAGTTGTTTGAGATCATATTGGTAGCATGCAGTAATCTTTAAGAGCCTTAAGCATTCTATCACATTTTCCCGTTGACTTTTCTAGAACGTTAACATTGAAATCCCCTAATATAATAATTTCCTGCTCATTGAACCTGTCAGCATCTATACTAATATTTTCCAATAGTTCGAAGAAGTTGCCTTGTTTTGGTGGTCGAAAAACGTTACGATCAACGTTTACTGAACGTTAACAAAACGATTTTGGCAATAACTTAAATATAACCTTATTATAAACGTTTTAAACTAACCGTAATAGAACGTTTTTAGCAAACGTTTTTAAATAACCTAAATAGGGCCTATAACTTTACTAGAAACGTTTTACGAACGTTTGGAAAACGGTTCATTCATACCAAACCATAAAATAACCATTCAAAAACGTTGCGAAAACGTTATGTGTTAGCTGGGGTTCATTTGCATATTATTGATTTATATGCTCTGGTACGGTCCGGTATACCGGAACGTACCCTAGTACTGTCACATTATTGTATCTACGGTGCCCCCACAGGCACTTGAAGCGTTTCAACTGTAAACACACGCCGCCGCCATTGCGCGCACACTGACACATAAATAAATATATAAATATATACACTATATATTTATGTGTCAGTGTGCGCGCAATGGCGGCGGCGTGTGTTTACAGGTGAAACGCTTCAAGTGCCTGTGGGTGCCCCCTTGGCCCCCGCTCGCTACGGCCTTGTACGTAACTATCTGCTTTTCCCGGCCACTTACT